AAGTATTGTGATGACTGATGAACTCCAAGTTCAGGAAGACAGTGGTCCTAGAACATTTTTAATGACTTGAGTATTTGGTTGTTGCACATTTTGGAGATGAGACATTTAAGCAGGCATCTGAGTCCAGGGATAGACTGAGACAAGTGAATGTGTAGGAAAACATAAATTAAGATTTTACTTTTCCAATATAGGGAGTGTCTTTAGTAAGGATTTTTCTTGGACAATGTGTTTTTATTTTACACCTTTCAAAAAAGTTCAATTCTAGTAATATTTGCCTAGCAATGTTTTACCATATTGCATACTTATTCCAACTAAAGAAATTGTGAAGAAATATGTATCCTTTGATTAGAAACTCTAATGGTTATTTCAAAAAGTTCTCACCAATGGTAATAATAGTCATCATCATAATTGACTAATGATTCTATGATCAAATGAATTTAGTTTTAAGCATAATGACTTCAAAATGCAAAGTCAAATTGGGGCCTCCCTGGTGGTGATTGAAAGATAGTGCAATTAAGCTATTGCCAGTCTCTGCAGCATGAGTTCAATCCCCAGCTGGCCAGGGAGCAACCCACATGGTGCAGCAGACCTCTCCTGCCTTGTCCACTGCTCCCCTCAGCAGAGTATTTCAGTGGATCCTCCTGTGCTGCTCTCCACTCTTAGGTGAATCCTCTCACCCCCTGCACCTCTGGCTTACACCCCAGTTCTTATATGCATAAATAAATCCTTTTTTAAACATGCAAAGTAAAATTGATTTAAATTTGTTATATGACAAAATCATGGCATCTAATTCTAAATATTAAATTAAACAATGAAAAAAATTAAATTATACTGTGAACTATGTTAGTAATTTTAAATTATTTAACTTGTTATAAGTTGAACCAACTAATCACTAGGATATATTTTAAATTATTTTATATTATTAGAACAATTAAATTGAAATTTAAAAGCAAAAACAGAAGTCGAGACAAATGCATAGCTATAATACTGGAGTAGAATAATTTATGTTCCTTAGATGGAGAATGAGCTATTAGAAAATTATCAAAATGCATATCAATGTTATCTCCCTTTCAAAAAAGAGAAATGGAAAATAATGGAACACTATAGCTTTATATCATGGTCAAGATACTACGTGCCATTGGAAGAAATTCCAAGAAGAGTGAGTTTCTGCATTAAGCAGTGTAGGATATATTAACAAGAATTGTTGCTGCTGTTGTTATTACATATGATGATATAAATCAAACATGAAGTATCTATGTAGAAGGATAAAAAATATTTGAATTTTGAAGCAAGATACAACTAACTTTACGATCTTGTGCCATAGTTTATCAATTGGACAGTTTCTGAAACATCATTTAAACTCTCAGTCTCTGTGCAAAAGGGACAGGGTCACCCCTTCTTTGGAGGGCTGTTGCAAGATTAGAAATGATTTAATGTCCCTGGGAATCTTGTAGATTAGCTGCTGGAAGTCAGTTTTACAGAACAAATTGTACCATGGAGGGCAATAGGTTTGGGAGGAATCGAGAATACTTTTGCAGAGGTATTTGTTAGCAGTGCCTGATGAAAAGTTTTTATTAGAGAAGCAGTGAGTGCTTCTTGTGTGAAGAGCATAAGAAAAAGCAATGATTTACTATAATGAAGTTGGGTGAAATGTGTGATGGGATCAGGTAGTATGAAAATGCGTGCAAATTGGAGTATACGGTGCAGAGATTCTGGTCCCTTTTACCCCTCATCCTCCACCATCTCACCTGGATTGTTGCTGTAGCTGTTTAAGCTGTTCTTGTTTCCACCCTTTGCCGCTGTGGCAGCCTCAACACAGAGACTGGAATAATCCCAGTAAATATAAACAAGACTCCAGATACAGAAAGAAATCATGTGTGACATCATTTATATGTGGAATCTAAAAAAGTCAAGGTCATTAAAAAACAGAAGAGGGGCCTCCCTGGTGGCGCAGAGGTTGAAGTTTTGTTATAGGACAGGGAGAGGGTCAGCCCAAAACCCCGCAAACCTGCCTATTCTAAATGGGTTCTGCCATCCGCCGCATCAACACAAAACATAGGAGACTTTAATGGGAAGGAACTTTAATAAAACTAGGAAACAATACAGGTAAGGCAAAGAGTCTAGTTTCTAAATGAAGCACCCAAAGTTACCCGTCCCCTCGTGGGTAAAAGTCCATCCATATGGGATTGGCCCAGAGCAAGGCCCCAAAGCCTGCCACAAGTCTAAAGCATCTTCCAGTGGGGACCCACAGAAAAGGGTCACAAACAACCGGACAAGCCCGGAAGGAAAAGAGCAAAATCAACATCAAGATAAAAGCTGCCATTGTCACCTCCCCACGGGTCTCACCCACATCTGTGTCACCCAGTCCACGACCACAAGACAAGCGCAGTTTCTTCACGTGTCTCTAGGCTCCACGCCCTCCTCCAGGTCTCCTGGCTCCATCCTGCTTCTTTCCTCCGTCTCTTCCTGCAGCTTCTTCTCTTGCTGCTCAGCTCCACCCTCCCTTGGGTGGGGCAGGGAACCTCCCCCTTTCCTGGGGACCACCCTGTTGCAGTTTCAGCACCATCAATCTATTGCCAGCCACGGTGGCCTAAGTTCGATCCCTGGCCAGGGAGGTGACCCACATGGTACTGCGGACCTCCCCTATCTCCCCGCTGCTCCCTTTAGCAGTGTATTTCAGTAGATCTGCCTGTTCTGCTCCCCACTCTGTCTCTGGTGAATCCTCTCACCCCCACACCTCTGTTCTTGTCTGCACTGTATCTCTGGTGAATTCTCTTACCACCCCTCCCCCACACCTCTGGCCTACACCCCAGTTCGTGTATGCATAAATAAATAAATCTTTAATAAAAAGCACAGAAGAGTGGTAGATGTCAGGGGTCAACTCGCAGGTCGGCAGGCTTGGAAGCATCGGGATGAGGAAAAGATAACTCAGAGTCCCTGTGCAGCAATGAGAAGCTTAGTGGGGTTACCGGGAAGTAACATGCAGCCCCACCCAAAGGCAGTCTCTCTCTCTCTCTCTCTCTCTCTCTCTCTCTCTCTCTCTCTCTCTCTCTCTCTCGTGCTTATTAGCATTGAGTACAAAGGTGAGGCAAGTCAGTTGGGAATGCACATGTAGGGGGAGCAGTTATGGGGATGTAAGCTAGGGTGGAGTGACCAGGGGCTACTGTCTGGGGAGCTCCATTGTTCCTGTGGTGGAAGCATATTATCTCTATTATCTGCCTGCTCTTTACAGCTGATACTGGTTTCCCAGTATGTTCCTCATACCAGGACTTGTGCCCTTGGTGAGAGTCCCCTGGATGACCCTCCACCTAACTGACAAGCAGGATCCCTGGGCACCAAGGCAATATCCCTGAGAACAAGAGGGGCTGGGGATCCCACAGCCAAGGGTGATGGAAATGGGGAGATGCTTGTTCAAGGGCACAGCGTTTGAGTCCTGCAGGATGAACACTAGCGATCTCATGACAACCAGGCTACTGGAGCGAATCATACTACATTGTGTACTTGAAGTTTGCTAAGAGAGTTGATGTTCCGTGTTCTCATCACACACAGGCAAAATTCCTAAATATATAGGGTGATAGGTTAACTAACTCAGTTGTGGTTATCATTTCGCAGAGCGGAGCAAACATCATGTGTGCACTTTAAAACAGTCCATACTATTCTGATTTGTCAATTATACCTCAGTAAAGCTAGAAAAATAATGTTAATTGTATGAGGTTATTCTCCTGTTTCAAACCCCCTGCTAGTGTCTCATATCAGCCAGTGTAAACACCAAAATCCTTACAAGTAGCTAAAAAGTCTCACAAGATACAGCAATTCTGTTACTTATGTCTCTATTCCTATTACTTTGTTCAGCCTTTCTCATCAGTCTTCTTGCATTTGCAAGAAAGAAAGCTAAGGCAACTAAACAAACTTCCTGCAGAGGTTTGGCCCTTCCTCCTTCTGCCTAGAATTCTCTACTGTCAATAGCCACAAGCTCATTATCTCACTTGTGTTAGGTTGTAATTGAAATAACAAGGAGTTGTTTTTGTTTGTGTCTGTGGACACTAAATACTCTCATCATGAACTCTTTCTCCAAATTTGTCTTTAGTACTTATCTCCATCTAAAACACACTTATTTCTATATCATTTATCCTACTTTTTATCTTTCTTAAAGACAAACTAGATATCTGACATGCATAACACCCAACAAATACATATTTGTCAAGTGGCCAGATGAATGAATTCGCAGAAAGATTAGATCAATTAAAGGCATAAAACAAAATTTTCTGTGCAGAAGTAAAATCTTATATGAAAGTATTTGCAGCTCCACCAAAATAAATTTATTCCTTTAGCTTATAAAAAACATTCATTATATGACTGCAAGATGTCAATACCATGCTAGATTCCAGAAATGCAAGTCTCTCCCCTTTCCTCAATTAGTTTACAAATAGAGAGAAATGTATTTTTTAGGTAAACTTGTAATATGGAGATATAGGCCTTCAGAAACACAATATAATTATTGCCTGAATCCCATTTTGAATTATTTTTTGCCATTGGGATGACAAATGAGTGTTACGATAATGTGATCCAACTTCTGAAAATAAAAGAGTATACCTCTTTGGCTCTCATTCTTCATGAAATTAAATATTATACTTTAACAAGTATGTGTATGCATTTATTTAAATGCATAAACTTATTTAACATATTTAAATTGAAGTTTGAGGGTACCTTTTTTTTAAAGAAAGCAGTGTAATAGCAAATTAAGGTTAATAAAATTCTATTTGTATATGTTTTATTTTTATTGTAATATGTTAAATGCTAAGAGAAATTACCATTCATAAACCTTTGTTGTATGGAAATTTGTATCAATTATCACCCTATCTGCATCCAAGGAATTTAAGGGCAAAAAAAATCAAAAATATGCTAACCATTAATTCAAAGCTTCAACAATATTGTTCAGGGTTCTTGCAAATAACTAAATTCATTCTTGTTTTTCTATTTTTTTTTTTAAATCACTGAAGGAAAGTAGGTTATCACAGAGTCAACACCAACAAACACTTGACAAGAGTAAAGGTAAAGTTACCATCAGATGCTTTGTCCTTATTATATTTAAGTAAAATATGATATTCCTGAAAGCCTTTGCTTGTTATCAGGCTGATTCTATCTGGAATTATATACATCTCCAAGTGAAGTAAACCCCAAATAACATTGGCTTATAGATGATTGTAGATACAAATTTCAGTTTCAGGAATGAGAGTTTGTTTCAGAGCTGTTTTGCTTATAAAAATATTTTAGAAGTAGGAATAAAATAAAATAATTTTGTCTAGATGCATTGAAGAATTATGCACTTGTGGGATGCTAATAAAATGAAAGGCAAGAGATAAGAGTTCAATGTTTGGTATGACTTTATTGGTTTGGAACCAATTACTATTAAGAAAGAAATTTTGGAGTTTCAAATTGCTGGAAGTAAAATTATTTGGTTTAAGGCATCACTACAGAAAAGGGGTCCATGTAAATAATCCAGACTTTCCTTTGAAGATTCAAAGGTTAGGATACAGAGTAAGAGCAAGCAGTAAATAAATAAGACTTTTTAAAATATGAAACCCAGCTTCAAATAAGCTTGCGATCTGTCTGGATTAAGATAACTATCCCTTGCAAAACCGCAAACCAGAAGCAAAAGTTAATCCTTTCAAGTAGAAAATAGTATCGCCAATAGCTTCAAATTATTAGAATTTTTTATATGCAGGAACCGCCATTAATAAAACTAAGGCAGTGTCTCCCTGGTGGTGCAAGGGGGTAAGTCGCAGCACTACAAAGCTATCTGCAGCCACTGCAGCACAAGTTACATCCCAGGCCAGGGAGGTGACCCACATGGCAGCAGACCTCTCCTGTCTTGCCCGCTGCTCCCCTCAGCAGTGTGTTTCAGTCAGTCTGCCTATTCTCTTCCCCACTCTGTCTCAGATGAAGCCTCTCACCCTCCCGTGCATCTGGCCTGTACCCCAGTTCTTGTATAAATAAATAAATCTTAAGGAAAAAAAAGAATATAATTAGATTATCGTTTGAATGAAGTTAGCAGATTACATAGCATACAACATTAATGTGTTTCTTGAATTTGGGAATTTTACTCTGATAAAGTTATAAAATTCCTGATTTTAGGAAATATCTATTGGTGTATTTAGAAGTAAAGAGATTTTATCAATTTGCTTTTAAGAAAATGTGTGTGTGTAAAAGAAAACAAGTAAATATAGTAAGGACAGAGAATTTAACATTCAACATTTTTGAAATCTGGTGAAGGATATCTAGAAGTTATTTTTGCTGCTCTTGCAACTTGCCTATAAGTTTAAAAGTATGCAAAATTAAAATATAAAAAGAAAATGTTGTAAACCACAGATATTATTCATTTTTTAAAACCAACAATAAAATTAAGACCAGATAGTACAAATGACAGTGCCAAGGAATAATGATCTATTATGCAGTAATAAAGAAATCCACTTTACAAACAAGTGTCTTTTAAAATATCAATCCTAAAAAGCCATACATCACCCAGCACTTCTGTGTCATTATCTTAAGTCTAAAATGAAAAAAGTGAACAAGGACATGAATTAGCATACTTCACTCTTTTTAAAAATGTCAACCTAGAAAATAATCAAAAATTCTTGACTTAATACTTAGTATCACACAAATGTGTGTGTAAGTGAGGATGAGCCTGGCCACTGGCAGTGATAGATGTGATCTTCCATATTTATTAGACACAGAAATTATTACCACCTCTAGCTAGTATGGTATGTGTTGTCCTCAAATATAAAGCATGTTCTTCTATCATATGGTTTGTTGGTTTGCTTGTTCCTGTCTTAGTTTTTCTCTCTCTGTTTACACCTACTTTTAATATTATTTTTATATAGTTTGCTTTCTTTCAACATCCATGTAATTTGTGAGGGGATCTCAGTACAAAACCTATATACATCCACAAAATAATCTTGCCCACAAGTGTTTTCAGATCAGCCAGAAAGTTTGTGAAAAACAAATATTTGCCTGTGCTAAAAGTCATTTGTATATGCGAAATAATATTAGGAAAACTCAAAAAGCACATTTTCAATATTCAAGCCATTTGTTTTTAAATGTAGGTTTCTGTAACCTTTCTCAGTAGCTAATGAAAGGAAAAGATTAATGTTTTATATTCAGATACTTAAAAGATGAATGTTCATCTCCTTTAAGTTATTTAACTTTTTTAGAAAGTGTATAAATGATGTGAGCAAGACAAGTACACTATATTCTTACAACTATTCACCATGAAATTCCAGAGGCACATTGCCATCATTAAGCTGTGATGTTAAATGTAGACATCAGAACTGCTTGATTCCAGTTATACGCAACTGAGAAAATCTGTAACTAGGACTTTCATATTTACTTATGAGATCGAGGACATTCTACCTAGCATTATTTTATATGCACTACTTGCTGTGAAGAAGACTGTCAAAAATAATTCAAAGTCATCACATTAATTTAGAATGAAATTATAAAACCAATAGTGGAAAATACGTATTTTTGTCTTATTTCAGGAGATAAAGATGTATGTTTATGCCTGTGTGCTCCTGCATTTCCATTATTTTCTTGGCCACCCAGGAAGCAGAAGACTTGCTCACAGCACTGAATGAGCTGCTATATACAGAAATGAAAGTTTAGGTCTTCTTTCCTAAAACCTATTAACGATTTCCAGTTTCTCTCCCTTTTCTTTCCTCTTTTCTCTCTTCTCCTCTCTTCCTCTTGAAGCCTTCTGCTCAGGCCAAATGAGATAAAATTTTGAGGACACTGATTTCTAAACTATCAATAAAATGAAAAACTCATTGGGAAAATTGGGTAAGGATGGCTTTGTCTATATACACAAGGTTATGGATATGTGACATATATACATACATTTATACTGTATATAAAGTAAGTGTATGCATCTATACATACATATATACAATTTTATATAGAAATGTATAGAATATAAATATAATTAAAAACAAATAACAAATTAAATAAGAAAATATTCATTTGAAGTTTTGATTCTCTCATAGTAATTATGAGAAAAGTATAATACAAAAGTAAGTTCAAGAAAGAGCTAATGAAGATTCAGGAGTCTCAGCAAGTTGGAAAACCCTCTTATTAAAATTTGCCATCAGACACAGTATGAATAACTGCAATTCCTGGATTTACATATTCATGGGATTTAGGAATTAATTGACTTAGTATAGATCACATATCCACCCATTTTGAAGTATTTTTGGGGATAATGTTGTGACTGGTATCTCCCAGGAACTACATACCTTGGGGAAGCATTAATTCTAAATGGATGGCTTTAAACTTAATTCAATGGCAGTGGCAAATAATTGGAATGGCTGGAATGACCCAATTGGAAGTGATCTATTGTACCTATTTTGTTACAAGCACATTATGTTTGTTTCTCCATGAATGTAGCCTTGACTTGAGTTCAAAGAGAGAATAGGAAAACTTCCTATGGAAAATATGCAGAATAATTATTTTTTCTAACTATCCTATCTTGGTTTTATTGTTTCAGTATTATTTGCCTCACTTCCTTGTAAAATCAAGACAACCACTTCCATACGATGTAGATGTGAATACTAAATGAGGCAGATGCTTGCAAAAAGACATATTGGGTCTTCAATATGTGATTTTGCTTTCCCTATTTCTTTTCCTTTCTTCTCAAAGTAGAAATGGCATATTTCATAAGGCAGAAAATTTTTTGACACAGTTATAAATATTTATAGTTTTTATTCATTACCATTTCATTACAAAATAATTATTGAGCAACTTCCATACAAACACTTGGGGATGGAATGATGAACAAAATCTGCAAGGGATGGTTGTCATGGAGATTACATATGAAATACTTCACCAACATTTTGGTTTATGCTTTTATCTTTATAATTGATATCATTTGGATTTCTTTACTTTTAATACAGAGATCCTATTCCCAAAAAAAGCTGGATATCATAAAATTAAACCAAAGTGGGGTTTTGTTTATTTTTATCTTTTAGCCATTGATGAATTAATATAATCCATTTTTGTTGGTGGTATCTAATACACACTTAGAACATATAAAGACAATGGGCCTAAATACTAAATTTTAGTCTCTAATTTAAGTTGAAAGATGTATTAAACATAAAATAGTGATGTGAAATGCTTCTGAATATACTCTGGGGTAAATTTTAAAACTAAAGCAATGCCTCTGAGGTTAATTGCTTATTGAACTCATTAAATTGTCTTAATTTCTTATTTTCATATAAAACCCTGATAAGTTTGATTACCTACAGATGTTTGATGCTAGTCAAAATATTCCAAGGCAAAAAAAATAATAACTACAGCAAAACTTGACATTGTTGGGCCTCACCAGTGGTGCAGTGGTTTGAGGGCTGTGCTGTGAAGCTGTCTGCAGCCTCTATAGCATGAGTTCAATTCCCAGCCAGCCAGGGAGAAACCCACATGGCATGGCAAACCTCTCCTGCCTGGCCTGCTGCTCCCCTCAGCAGTGTCTTTGGTCTGTCTGCCTGTTCTGCTCCCCACTCTCTCTGGTGGATTCTCTCACCCTCCTATGCCTCTGACCTGTACCCCAGTTCTTGTATAAATACATAAATCTTTATTAAACAAAAAACAAAAAAAAAACGACATTGTTTTCTTTGTAACTTCATTCAAAAGGTGAAAAAGAGTAAGCCCAATATGGTCTATTTACCCTATATTTGTCCATATAGATTGGCATTTTCATGCTTAAGCTTGTCAGTTTTGTAATGCTTAGGATGAAAGACAATTTGCAGACTTTATTTTAAGATTATATTTTATTTATGCATACAAGAACTGGGGTACAGGGCCTCCCCTGGTGGCGCAGCAGTTGAGCTCTGGGCTGCGAAGCTGCCCGCAGCCTCTGCAGCGCCGGTTCGATTCCTGGCGGCAGCCGCCGGGTGAGGGTCCCACATGGTGCCACAGACCTCTCCTGCTGCATCCTCTGCTCCCCTCAGCAGTGTATTTCGTCAGTCTGCCTGTTCTGTTC